CAACAGCAACCAACCAACAGCAACCAACCAACAGCAACCAACCAACAGCAACCAACCAACAGCAACCAACCAACCACAACCAACCAACAGCAACCAACCAACCAACAGCAACCAACAGCAACCAACCAACCAACCAACAGCAACCAACCAACCAACAGCAACCAACCAACCACAACCGACCAACAGCAACCAACCAACCAACAGCAACCAACCAACCAACCAACCAACCAACCAAGCAAGCAAGCAAGCAAGCAAGCAAGCAAACAAACAACAAACAAACAACAAACAACCAACCAACCAACCAAGCAAGCAAGCAAGCAAACAAACAAACAAACAACAACAACAATAGAGGTACGGTCTCTGCATGTGTTCTCCCTGCAACATCCTCCAACATCGACTCGCCCCTCGCTCGAAAAACATCCGCCTCCCAGGGACATGCCTTCATCCTTGGGTGCCACCCTCGGGCGGTGCAGGCAAACGGCCCGGGGTGGTGTCGGGGGTGGCCGGGTTGGTCCATCTGCCGAAAGAGGGCGCAGCAAAATCATCCAACGTGCTTGAATCTACCTCTGATGGTGGAATTCTGGTCACCACGGGGTTGTCGGGTTCAGATAGCCAGGTGTGCTCAGCAGTTCGATCCACTGTGACATCAAGGTGTGTTGTCACGAGTGACAAAAACATTGGATGTCCTTCCACGTCCGTGTCTCCGACCATCTTGAGGGAAAACACACAAACATGTCATGAATTCTGAACAGGCAGGTTTTTCACGTTCACAAAAGATTGCCGGCCCCTTCAAGTTTCCTGTGCGAGATTTCTTGAAAAACATGTTGGCCCAATTGCCAAGAATAGTTGAACATTGACGTCGAACTGAGCAGGGACGTCAAAAACAACCTGGCGGCATTGAAACATTGGAAAGAACGTGCTAGGTTCTTGACCATTGACATTGAAACAAAGATGTCTGCAGTCTTCTGCTGGTTTCGTTCCAAACGTTCGGTTGGGTGGTGGCAGCCGTATGAGCACAATACACCAAGTTGTAAGTAGACACATTCCTGCTTTGCCTATCTGGCCTGAATCTGAAAACAGGCCAGGAAGTGCTGTATTAACTGCTCTGAACTTTGGAGGCGCAACAGGTGGGATCTTGAATTTTTTGTCGTGCTTGGAAAAATGCAATCATATCGTTGCCCATGTCTCGACTCAGGCATCCTTTCTTCTTCCGGCAACCGCCGCTCCTCTCGACCAAGGTGCGAGGTGTCCTGTGCGAGATGGAGGGGCTGTGCCGAGATGGGGAAGCCTGCCCCAGTTGAACAGATGAGGACATTCCACTGTGGCATATTGGTGGGTTACACGGCATTTCTCTTTGTCAAGGCCCCACAACCAAGACCAAAGGGAGTGAACCAAACATTCCGAGAAAAAGGTATCGAACTTGAAACGCCCCAAGCATCAACAGCCTTCCCAGATTCTGGGAACCCCCTCACCAAGGCGGAGCTCCTCCCGGAAGAGTTGCCTCAGCGGAGGCTGAAGGCGCGTGTACGCAAGCGAGCAGGTGCGCGCAGCTCGCCAGGCAAGCTACTCTGCAAGAGTGGCCCCAACGGCTGCCCTAGCTGAGTCGGAGTAAAGCGAACAGAATTACTGTATATCACCCGGCCCGCCTCGACAAAGAGAAAGGGCGGCTTCGTAAGTTTCCGCGGGTGTGTAGATGGGGTTGAGAAACCATTTTCGATCAGGGGGTGCAACATAGAGAAACAAGGATGTCTCAACACAAAATCCACATTTGTTTTGCTCCCTTGGTGTCTCTGGAAACACCGTTTAGGAAAGGGGGCGGGGTGAAGCTATCATCATGAAACTTACAGTAAAACTTCCAAGCAAAAATGTTTAAAGCCACTTCAGCGGGAGTGAAGTCTGGACACCAGGAAATGAAGGTTGAGAGGGGGGTACGCGCACCCCCCTTGAACATACCTTTAATTGTGCCCCAGTGATAGAATTATTGAAGCGGTCTGCCAGCATACCTCGCATACTTCTATGTTACATTGGGCTTACCAACTGCAGCTTGCACGCGATGCGAAGACACTTGGCCCAAAGAACGCTGTAGACACTACACCTGCAAATCAGGCTCCTGCTGTGCGGGCGAACCTTCCAGGCGCAGGCCCCCTGTTCCTGGCAGCCTGGCAGGCTCCTGGTTCGTATCTCGGGACGCGCCTCCGTGACCTAAGAATCTGGAAATAAAGGAAGAGCAAGGCCAATCTGCTCGCCGACTGTAGCAAGGCTAGGCCATGCTGCTCCCTCATCTTCCGTCAACCTAGCTAGCTAGTTGTCTGTTTCGTGACCTTCGTGCTTCGCATCAAATGCAATGTACAGCAGTACGCATGGCAAGTCGTCAAGCTGCCTGGGTCAACTTCCGAAGCTTACACTGATGCAGGTTTCTGGAAAGGAGGCTTTTGATGGAGAGGGTGTGTTACTCGGAGAATTGTCCGAATGACTATTTCAGGGAGTGCACCCTATGCACCATCTGTCGCAGTATGGAAACAAAGGGGAAATTTTTTGGAGGGCAACGTGTGAACATGTTTCTGACATTCCCCAGGGATCCACATACCTTCTCAGGTGCTTGGGCCCTCCGAGCCTACATAAGTCTCCAATCACCGTACCTGACAAGGTACTTGGATCTCTAGGGATTGTGTGCAGGACATCGCGACGGACGGACGTCGTGCGCTAACAACATGATGATGACTGAAGCGCGTGAGCGCAGCAAAAACCCGTAGAAAGCCTGTCTTTTTGGAGACTGGTTGTTGGAAATGCATGTAAACTGCAGGGTTTCTGAGAAAATACATATATGTTTCATGGATCGTGTCTCATTTTGAGTGTGAAACACTGCAGGTCACCCGGGAACGCAACCTCAGAAAAAAGCTCTCTGAAACCGGAGGACTGCGGGTCATGACCCGCGAGTCCTCGCGCAGGGAGACGGACCGAGGAGACTTCGGTGGAGGATGACTGACTGACGACCGCAGGTCTGTAGGCTACAGCCTGGCTACAGCCATTCAGTCACAGCTAGGCTCATGCTGACTCAATCCTTTCAACAGCGACAGCAGGACGTCTAGTACGAGTAGGTTTTTTTCAGAAGCCTATCCAGCTTCCTGCTAGTGCAATTCTGTAGCTTATCATAGCTTATTGACTCATAGCACGTATTGACGCTGGGTTTTCTGCCATGGCAGTGTATTCCTCGAATGGTGTCTCATAACAGTCCAGGAGACGGGAATACGAACAATAGCTCAAAACCATGTTGCCTCCGCGCTTTCAGGCTCTAAACTTGTTGATCTTGAGCATCTGTTTGCGCCCGGTGAAGACAAACAAACAAATACATGGAAAGTGAAGGAGATGCAAGTGGCCAACAACATAACAAACTGCACACACTAGAATGGTCAGCCAGAAAAAGAATAACACAAACACACTCAAATCGTCAACCAACCAAACAGAATGCAGCTTTCCTGGGCCGAAGCAATGGCTGGACTTGACCATCCATGAGTTGCTGAGGTACCACCAGCTTATGTACCGGGACAACAGAGGAAATCCTCTTCCAGGACCGGGAAACCAACTTCACTTCGTCACCTCTTGAGACCCAGTGGCTGAGGTCACTTCGGCTTGTAAACTGTCACTTAGGGTCTCCAAAGAGGTCACTTAAAGGTCCTGGTCGCCCTTTCGACCATTCTTTTCGACCCTTTCCACTATGGTTCGATCATTTCCTCACTGGTCATGCTCTTCCGGCTCTTCCTACTTCCTTCTACCTACTTCCTGCCAGAGCCGGGGACACCACCCCGATCTTTAAGGCACCAAGCTGTCGCACCGGTCGAAGCGTCTGTGCGAACCGCGGAAGCTCTGTCCGAATCACCGGGTCGGTCGTCGCCCAGTGGCTGGTCCTTCTTCCGACCCACATAGTAGATGAAAAGCCGACTGATGTCGTCCACCACCGCCTGCCCTGTGAGAAGCGGGGGGAGATGGGCCAAAACTGGAGGTCTTTTTGGTCGATTTGCCAGAAGGGTGTGAACTTGTGAACTTGGGTGATTTCTGATGATTTACAGAACCTCCTTCCTGTGTGGACCAGCTCTTGTGGCTCAAAAGCCCAGGCGCAGGCAGCAAAAACCTCTGAAAAAACAAACTAACCTCCCATCTGACAGCTGTCACAGCCGGGCTGCGACAGGATGCGACAGGCTGCCCCACATCTTAGACAAATTACCGTCCGTCGCGCCGGCACCTCGTTCCAGCCACACCTCGTTGGCACCGGCCGCACCTCACCTCCCTCCCAGTCACCGGATCCGGAAGAAACTGGCCTAACTGCATGGCATGGCGCTTGCCCATGTACTCGTAGGCGCCGCATACCGCATTGGCACAGCAGCTGTTGGTTTGAGACTGGTCTTCCACCTGAGCCCGCTACGACTCCGGTGCACGACCATCGGTGGAGCTGAGGAACAAAGGATGCGCGAAAAACGAGCCATGCTTTTTTGGGAGATGGTTTCAGGGGTGAGCATGGAGTGTCTGGGATATAGAGCATGGGAATGCCATTCTTTCAGTTGCTCGTGTCGTTTTTGTACCAACACAGGGCCGCCGACACGGGCTGCCTACCATCGCCTACACGGAATGCCCACCATCCAACGGCAACAGCCTGACCCAGTCTGCAGGTCTACAGGTCCAGTCGAATCTGACCCAGCAGGCTGAACAATCTGAGATCTTCTGAACAACCTCATGAGAACCGTGGAGTCGTGGTAAGCTCCTGATCACCTTCCGCCGAAGGTCGACAACAAAACATGTCCACGGGATAAAGCCAAAGGTGAGACATGGCACGGTCTATGGGCCCCCTAAGGGTCTGGTAGTTTATGTGGACTCCACGGACATCTTGAGGTGCCGGTGCAATATATCGAACCTCTGAAACCACTGCAGGTGACCCACCAAATGTGACAAACAATGCAGAATGATACAACCCACAAGGCCCATCCAACGATGCAACATGATGCAACATGATGCAACCAATGCAAATGGGTGAGCGATTTCTTGCCAAGCCAAACTCACCCTTCTCAATCAAGCAGAAACCAAACAACAGCAACATCTTAAACCCTCCCTCCAACAATCCCAGAAATGGTTTTGGCATGGCCTTTGGAAACATCATCGTCCTACTCATGTTCCTCTGCGTTCCTCTAGTTCCAAACATGGGGGGGAAAAAACATGAACGTCCACATCGGATGGGAGGGTCATCGGAGGGTCATACGGAAAAACTCCAGGCAGGAGCTGTGGTTCCGAGGAGCTGTGGTCATGTACTGCCGCAGGTCGACCTTCTCCGGGATCCGCATCCTGTTTCACTCGTGCGCGTCGCGCGTCGCGCGTCGACGGGCACGGCGTCACGGTGAGACATGTTGATTCGACGACCGATGAAGATCCATGTGGACCGAGTCACCGACAGTATTACTTATTATAGTATATTACCATATATATATATATACACACTATATATATATAGGTAAAATAGTGTTATCTAAATGGGGTAAAGGTCTGCAACTATGCATTAATTCAATTTAATTCATATTAATTTCATGGATGGAGTGGTGTCTGGGATATACGTATATACCCATGTACATGCCTTACACTGGCACCAAATCTTGATCAAGCCCCTGTTTCGACGGCTTCTTTGAGCTGCAAGGAGAACCAAACTGAACCAAATTCAATCATAGAATGCCCAACAGCATCTCTCTCCCTCTCTCACTTTGGTGGATGACCACACCGCCAGCCGTTCCACCTCCAAACGTCCCCATCGCCACACCTGACCGCCTCATCTCCACCGCCCCACAACTGGGGGCCCGATTCTCCGCCAAGCGTCCCGCTCGCTTTGGGCACGTAGTTGTGCACCTGGCCGATGGGAGAAGCACTCATGTCGCATGCCAGGCATGCACGGGATAGCTTTAGATTTTAAATCGCCAGGTGTTATCAAACAAGGCCAGCGCAGGTTTAATGATGCTGCTTTTAAGTGTCCGTTGCCAAGGTCGAAACACTGAACTATCTACCCACCCGCTTGACCCTCCGACCATATACGACCGGATCATGCTCCCAACTTCTCAGGGCCATGGGAGCGTTCGGTTGGGGTGGTGCCAGGGGGCTCGCACGCGTACAGAGTGTCGGATGACGACTCCACGTCATGAATGGTTCACGGGGGTTTTGTTTTGAGCCATGTTGAACCGTTTGTTGGGAAAACCATCTTTAGCCCACTGGTAGACCAATCCCCATGAAGCTGAAACGTTTTTCCAAAGGGGTCTCAAGCCCCACATCTTTCACAGCAAAGGCCAAGCTATGCCAAGCTCTTCGTGCTATTTTTTCAGCGATGTTTGCTTGCAGCACAAGACAGCTGTGCCGAAATGCGCGGATGCGCACTTAGACTTAGCGGATGCTCTGATCAGGATGGGGCCGGGGTGCTATCTATGGAGGAAGTCGGGGTGCCCTGGTCACATCCACTCACTGGAGGGGACTAAACATGACTAAACACCATCCCGTACTTGTGACTCCTGGTGGGTCCTTTGTTTTGGTCACCTCATTGAAGACTCAAGAATCCTCTCCGCCTCTGGAGCCATAAGCCCGTTCGTTCGTCCGTCCGCACGCACGGCGCCTTGACGGGTTCGACCACGTGCGGCAGCATGCCGAAGGGCGCAAAGGTCTTGCCATCGATGACCGCCTTCCTTCATTCGGAGAAACGGTTGGTTGGTGAAGATGAACACATCCCTTTTCCATACACTTTGAGTCTGTTGAATAGGAAGACAACCCATTCTTTGTGCGTCAGAGTGTCTGTTTTTGCTTTCTGGGTCGAAGATGGTCGAAGCAGTACACCCCATCTTTCTTCAACCCCTTCAGTGGGATTTAGAGTTTGGACTCAGTGAAGGACGGAGGGTGGGCAACCTAAAGAAGAATCATGTTGAACCATTGTTACATTGTTGAGTTGTTGGGCATCACGGAAGGGTTTGTGGGGGCACTGCCACAAAGAATGGCTTTCCTCACGTGAGCAGGCCATCCACTGGCTTGACCCATCGACTCAGTGCCGCACTTCAAGCCCTGACGTGCCGCATCAATGAGGATCGGTGCCACCTGGGCCACTGGAGAGGGGTCATGGAGCAAGAACGCTGGTAGATCAGTCATCTTGTGGCCAAACAGCCTCGAATCCAAGTGTGTTCCGCCTTGCAGCTGCGCGGTCATTCGGCACTCTTCGTCCCCGTTTGAAGTCAACATCTTCTGCGTGTGCCCGCTACAACAGCAATAGAAAGTTCATCTCTCTTACATGGTGGACGTCCCAAAGCAAATTTGTCACATTGACATACATTGACTTCTTTTTCTTGTTTCAATTTACAACGCACTTTCGACTCACGAACATGGAAATGGGGCCCCTTGCAAGACTCGTTTCCTCCATGAACGGGGAGTTTTCATGGATCTTCCACTTCCATTTTAGTAGGTTGAAGCGGACAGCTTCGTGGAGGTCTTGGCTAGGCCGGATAGGTCGTAAGGAGAGGTACCCTGTGCGCGGGGGCTTCGTGACTGCTTGTGGTTGCGGCTCCCGCGGGGTGGGCTTCTTCTACTTGCTAAGACAGGCTCTGCCGCTGAGACTGCTTTGGTATGGTTTTGGTATTCTGGGGGCCTGCTTCGATCCCACGGCCAGGCTCAGGAGCCCAGGCGCTGAGGAGACTCCATTCGCTTTCTCGACTCCGTGCGCGTGACTTAGTTTAGTGGTGCCCAGGGAGTCCACGAATTCTGCCCAGGGAGTCCCTCGTTTTTCTGCCTAGGCTGGCGGAAGTCCATGATTTGGGCACCACCGGGTCACTCGTCCCGTCCTCACCTGCGACAAGATGTCCTCCGGGCCCAGGGAGGTGGCTGAAATCTGCCCTGCCAGTGGTCCTGCACCCATGACCTCAGCGTGGCCGAGCAGGTTTGGGCCACCGGCCCGGTCGTGCGTCCAAAAGGGAATGCACTTCTCATCACTTCTCACTTTTCCATCTGGTGGCACTATCAAATGGTGGGACACTGAAGGCCTTTCAACACATGTCTCAACCTTGCTATAAAAAGAGTCCATCTTAATCGTTTCACCTCTGGGTCTCCTGGCTGTTCCCAGTGTCGCCGCAGCTTTGTCAGCAACGCCGGTGTTTTTCACTCACAGTGAACCAACGGCCGCCGCTCTCCGTCGAACGCTCCGTCGGAACGGTCAAGGAGTTTGGGGCTGGCATCATCCATCGGCCCCTAATTAGCCCCGATCCCTGGTTGCAATCGCCATGCCCGGCACGCCAGAGACACGCGACGCTCTCGGCTGCGCGGAATAATTAGCCCCGATCCCTGGGGCTTAAAAGAAGTTAACACGTTGTTTTGGTCGGAGAAGAACCGGCGGACCAAAAGCAAGTGACGTGCTGAAGAAGACAAACATAGCTTTTCCATGTTCTTTCCTTCCTTTTCCCTCATGAATCGTTTTCCTCAGGAGCACCCCCCCCGGTTTCCAAATGTAACACCACATGCTGGTGGAAGAAGCATTGTATGAGGCAGGCATGGTCCGTTGAATGGATCCATGGCGTTTCAGGCATGTCCCTGCGCTTCTTTTGGGGGGGACTGTTTGACTTGGCTCAGGGAGGCCAGCTGCCCGGTCGCATTTCATCGAGAGAGAGAGAGAGAGAGCCCCACGAAGAGTGGAGGTTTCAGGGTCGGCGGAGCCCCCACAGCCGAAAACGATGCGAAGCAAGCTATTCAAGCACCTCATTGGCGCAAAAGAGATCAAAAAAGGTGATCCAAAAAGGAGCCAAATGGTTCACACTCTGCTGTCGGCTATGGGGTGACAGTATTCAGAAGTGGCACACAAACACCCCACAGAATGCCAGCATGTATTCCGTACCTAAGTGGTGCTTGCAAGGGTCTTTCCCTAGGTGCATTCCCTGCAGCCAGGCTGGGCCCTTTTTCGCTGCTCGGCCTCGACGCTCGGCCCAGCTAGATCAGCTGGACCCGAACAAACCAAGCCAACTAAGCCAATCGACTACTGCTCACCCTGCTATTCGTGAGGTTGCTGGAGGCCGGTATCAACACGGCGCCAAATACGCCAAGTACTTGGCACTTCCGGACGCCTTGGAACGTGATCTTTTCTGCCCAAACGCGGATGTTGAATCACTGGAGAAAACACATGAAACTTCGCAACTGGCAACACTGAGTGACCAACCAGTTCTTGGGGTAGGTGGGGTCTATTATCCGATTACTGCTAGAAGTAAACTAAAGAAGGCAACATTTGGCTGCTTTTGTCAACTTTTGTTGATACTCTCTGAACCAGGTTCACCCTACTGGGCGCTTGCCTATTGCTATGAATGTTGGTTGAGGTAGAGGCCATCCATCCTCGGTGGTTCGCCAAAAGGCTCATCTTGCAACACGATTTGCTATAATGTGCTAGGCTATATATGATATACAGCAATATACAGCCAGATATTAATATAACATATATCTAAAATATAGTTGCACGGGGCATCTCTGGACATCTGCGGCTACAAGCCGGGGATTGTGCATCCTATTTGCCATCGTTGCCAATCTGAGAAGTTTCCCCTGATTCCTCGCTGATTTTCATAATTAAGATGTCTTAGACTGGAATTAAACAAGGACGCAAAAATGTGTTTACTCACGAGGATAGCCATTGCTTTTGAGGACTAGTATTGCATAATATTGCATTGATTGCCCTTATAGATGCTTTTAGCTTTTGTGCAAAAATGAAGGGTTGACCTCTTTGCGGATTGCTAAAGGCCAACTTTGCTTCTCACCAAACACACACACACAAATTCGTACAAAACAACAAAGAGTCAGCCCCCCAAATCCGGAACACACTTACCATGAAGCTGCCCCTTGCCATCGTCGGCCAACGTATGAACTTTCTTGACATATTCGACCAATACCGACTTCGGGGGGCTATATATGCCTGGAAAACGGGGCCCTTATGAGCACTGATTAGATGTTACAGGTTGGGATAGGGGCCATGTCCTCTGAACGAGACAGAGTTTCTGCACGAGACAGAGTTTGTGCAGCGGTTGGCGGAACTTTCATCCTTGTGAGCAACCCCAAACCTCTCAACAAACACCTGAAGAAGGACGAAACACACTATTTATATATACACCAGAGTGGTCCCCTCATAACTTACGAACGATTTCCCGTGGACTATGACGGATTGACAGTTCCATTGTTTAGGCCACTATACGGCACCAAAGCGTTCTTGTATGTTCTTGTGCAATCGCATGCTGGATGCTCTCCAGCTCAAACGTCAAGCACATCCATTAGTCATTACCTTACCCAGTCATTCTGCTCCACATCCATTCTCCCGCTGGTTATTTTTCTTTCTAACGCTCTGTGCCGTCAGCAACCTCTATGTTACACGCAGGCTCTCCCTGGTGGGGAGCACAGGCTAGCCTGCCTCAAAATCCCATTTCTGCGCTCGGCAGGTTCAGCAACTTGAGAGAGGAGGGGGGTGAACGAAAGGTAGCAGGGAATCAGGCGTAATCCGGGAGGAGGTGAGAGGCCCCCCACTTGTTTGAAGAGAAGTGAGTGAGCGTGATGAAAGAAAAACTAATGCACAAACGCTTGACAAAACCTCCAGAAGCTGTAGCGGTCTAGCGGTTTCAATACAGGTTGATGTGCCTTCAAAAGGAGTCACATATTTCTCAAATGCAACTTCGGATTTACATAGTGACGTGCGGCGACCCTTTAAATTGCGTGGCCGCAGGCCATGCTTGCAAACAGGACGTGCTCAAAAACACTGGTATTTACGAGGTTTCGTTGCCGTCGATCCACAGCCGCGGCAAGGTCTAAGGCCACGCTTGAAGACAGGAGGAGCTGAAAACACTGGTATTTACGGTATTTTGTAGCCGTCGATCCAAAGGCGCACCACGGTTGAGCGCTGGAAAAGCGCAGAAAACCGTGTAAATACCAGCGTTTTCTGCCGGGAAGGTGCACAAAACCCTGTAAATACCATAGTTTTGTGCAATTTTGAAGCCTCCAAAAGCCTCAAAAACCCTTTCTGACAAAATCTTTCCTAGTTTTTGGTATTTTTTCGGTCATTTTTCTAACCGAGGCGCATCAAAAACCATCGGTTTTTGCGGTGTTTTTTGCCGGACAGCCACAAAAAACGCTGTAAAATCCATGATTTTTGGTCACTGCTGAGGACTGGAAGAGCTGAAAACACTGATATTTACAGTGTTTTCGAACGGTTGACCCCG